AATTTTTTAAAATTTAAACTTAAATTTTAAATTTAATTTTTTAAGTTTAAATTTTTGAACCGACTAACTAAACTGAAAATTGACCCAAACCGATATAACCTGAGTGACCAACCCCCAACTTGACCAGGTCGATTTGGTTGGCCAAACAACTTGCAACTGAACCGTACCAACCCGTGAACAATAGTTTAATCTCCAATAATTATTAAAAATTTGTAGTGAAAATATACAATGAATTAAATTTAAATGCTAAATAATAGTAGTTTCAACTCCAATAATTATTGAAAATATATTTATCACAAAAAACAATAAATAATTACTAAAATATAATAAATATTAATTTTAGTATAAATAAATATATAATAAATAAATATTAAGTTTTTTAAATTATTAATAAACAATTAAAAGTTATTTTCTAGAATTATTAATTGATATACATGAAATTATCAATTTTATTGTCACCCATTGGTGAATATATATCACTATTGATATGTGTTTGGTATTTATTTTTTGAATTTCGCTTCCTATTCAAACAGCCTTTACAGCTTTACATTGAGAATATCTCAGTATTAATATATTTTATTTCATGGGGAGACATTCTCAATGTAAAATTATAAAAGACAGTTAGAACGATGTGAGCACGGGCTTGCCCTGATGGAAGCCGATCTCTTGTTTTTTCCCACCTGAAATTGACCTGCTGCTTATTATAGCAGTCAATCAAAACAAGCAAGAACTGCGTGAGGGGTGTAATCACTAGTTGAATTGACTCTCATATGTAATGTCATAACAAATACGTCTCACCCATTTATATTTACCAACCCAAAACGTTTATTGTGGTCATGTGATAGACAGAAATTGTTTGGTATTAATTAATTAGATTGGACACGTACCAAGTACTTTGAACAAACAATTAGGATCATTCAACTTCAACCTAAGGAGGAGAACGTTTTCATGTCCATATTTTCCAATGTTGGAATGGAATTACAACATTATTATTTGCTATATTAAGAAAAATAATGGTTTTTTAATAARAAATTTGTAATTATAAGTACTGAAGGCTTGAAACTTATATAAAGACTTATAAGAGATTATCATGTGCTCGTTTTTTAAATATTATCTCAGCAAAACATCTCATATAATAATACGATTATATAGTGATAGTTCTGAGTTCTACTTCATAATTGTCCTTTGTTTTACATCGGGAATTCCAAGTTAAYTCGGACAATAGGACCGTTCGGCCCAAGAACCGTCCAGGCAACCAGTTCCATTTTACTCCAAAGCTGATCCCTGGCCAAAAATCATTGAATTAGTCAACGACCCATTGACCCGAGCGGTCGAACCATTGACCCGTTGACTCGTTCAACAGTTTTCTTCATTTTTTTATTTTTAACTATGTTTTTATTTGTTAACTTTTGTTTGTAAGAATGGGCCTTCATTCGAACCGGACGGTCGAACCATCGACTTGGAAACCAGTGGCCAGTAAAGTTTCCGGATCATTTATCCTAGATGCCAATAATTAAACGAAATAACTTTGTAGTCATAGTCATGGGAAGCATGGACATTCCAAGGGATTCGAAAACCTAGAAAGATATATCCATAGTGATCTTAAACACAGAAAAAATTGGTAGTAAATCCATCAAACTAGAAAAGCCATGGAAAAAATCAGAAAATTGAGTCCAAACTTCCAATCTGAGACGAAGCTAAACATACATGCAATCAAAGAAAGAGAAAAAGTAGATTGTCTTGTAATAAAATTAAAAAAAAAACCATTGCACAAGAAAACCCAAAGAAAAAAACAAAAGGGAATAAATAAAATGGTGGTAAACCCTAGACCATACACACTCGAATAAAGCCAACTGTAGAAGAAACCTTTGAAAAGTGAAAATCCAAAAGCATAAAAAACCATGGTTTTGAACCGTTGTYGACTCAGATGGATGGACATTTTAGCCTAAGAACCGTCCAAGCAACTGGTTCCGTTTTACTCCAATCCCGGTCATTGGTCAAAAACCGTTGAATCGATCAACGACCCATTGACCCGGGCAGTAAAACTATCGATCCATTGACCCATTCAATGGTTTTGACCATTTTTTTATTTTTTTAATTGGGAACCGTCCAGGCAATTGGTTCCATTTTATCTGAATCCCGGTCCTTAGCAAAAAACCATTGAATCAATCAACGACCCATTGACCCAGGTGGTCATACCGTCGACTCGTTGACCCATTCAATGGTTTTTGGGTCATCCATTCGAAATGGATGATACTGCTTAATGGGCCATCCATTCGAAATGGATGGTCGGACCGCCATTTTTTTTAATTTTTTAATTGGGAACCATCTAGGCAATCGATTCTGTTTTACCCCAATCTCAGTCACTGGCAAAAAACCGTTGAATCAGTCAATGACACATTGACCCGAGTGGTCGAAATGTCGACTCGTTGACCCATTTGGTGGTTTTGACCATTTTTTAATTGGGAACCGTCCAGGCAACTAGTTCCATTTTATCATGATCCCGGTCCATGGCCAATAACCATTGAATTGGTCAATGGCCCATTGACCCGGGCCGTCGAACTGTCAATCCGTTGACTCGTTCAATGGTTTTTGGCCATTTTTTTAATTTTTGTTGTCAGAATGGGTTGTTTGTTCGAATTGGATGGTCAAACCATCGACCCAAAAACCGGTGGCCAGAACGGTTTCGGTTTCGGCTCGTATGAATCACACGCTCGAATGACATAACATGTATGATACTGCTTAAAGGACCTCACACACTTAATTTTTTGCTTGTAATTTTTGTTATCAGAATGGATCGTCCATTCGAACCGAACGGTCGAACCGTCATTTTTTTATTTTTTTAATTGGGAACCATCCAGGCAACCGGTACCGTTTTACCCCAATCCCAGTCCCTAGCCAAAAACCGTTGAACYGATCAACGACCCATCGACCCTAGTGGTCGAACCATCGACTCGTTGACCCGTTCAATGGTTTTTGGCCATTTTTTTTTATTTTTGTTGTCAAAACGTGTTGTCCGTTCAAATTGGATGATTGAACTATTAACCCAAAAGTCGGTGGCCAGAATGGTTCCGTTTTGGAGTCGTATGAGTCACATACTCGAATGCTATAACACGTATGATACTACTTAATGGACCTCACACACTCAATTTTTTCCTTGTAATTTTTGTTGTCAGAACATGCCTTCCATTCTAACTGGATAGTCAAACTATCGACCCAAAAACCGATGGTTGGAACGGTTCTGTAATTTTTTGTTTGTAATATTTTTTGTCAGAATGGGTCATTCATTTAAATCAAATAGTTGAATTGTCGACCTAAAACCGATGGCATATATATATTAAAGGGCTGCCATTTGGCGAAAGGGGAGACCACCCCTATCCCTTTAATATATATATATAAGATATAAGATGAGTTTGAAATGCTTGGAGTTATGTGGCCCTCTTGAGTCTTGACACAGGTGTAGGTGGTTCATTAGATTGAATTGAATGGTCACATGGCGTTGTGTATTGGTTTGAAAGAAAAGGTAGGAAACCTGAAACCAAACACAGCCTGGGAGAGAGAGAGATTTTATGAGGATATGAATGGTCACGATCAAACCGCCATTTTTTTTAATTGGGAACCATCCAGGCAATCAATTTTATTTTACCCTAACCCCGGTCCCTAGCAAAAAACCGTTGAATCGGTCAATGATCCATTAACCCTAGTGGTCGAACCATCAACCAGTTGACTCGTTCAACAGTTTTTGGCCTTTTTTTTTAATTTTTGGTGTCAGAATGGGATGTCCATTCAAATTGGATGATCGAACCATCGACCCAAAATCCGATGGCCAGAACGGTTCCGTTTTTGGGTCATATGAGTCACGCACTCGAATGATATAACATACATGATATTACTTAGTGAACCTCACACACTCAATTTTTTCCCTATAATTTTTGTTGTCAAAACGTATCATCTATTTTAACCGGATGATCAAACTGTCAACCCAAAAATCGGTGGCCACAACGGTTCCATAATTTTTATTTGTAATTTTTTTGTCAAAACAATTTATTCATTTAAACTGAATGGTCGAACTATCAACCCAAAACTGATGGCATATATATATTAAAGAGCTTCCATTTGACGAAAGGGGAGACCACCCCTATCCCTTTTAATATATATATATATATATAAGATGAATTTGAAAACCATAGAGTTCTGTGGCCCTCTTGACACAGGTGGTAGAAAACCTAAAACCGGAGAGAGATATTTTATGAGGATATGAATATAGTTGAATGGTCAATTAGATGGAAGAGATTTTAGGAAAGAGATGATAGCACAGAGGTTGTAGAGCTTTCTCGCCAGAATCAAACCAACCTTACAAATTTTTATTTATTTATTATTTTATTCTACAACATCTACATGGTTATGACACCCGATTTAGTTTTGAAATTCTTCATATGGGAACCAATTTTCAGCCCTATACAACATCATGATAGAAATAAGTATTTTTATCAAAAATATCCCTAAAATAAAGATTAATTTTCTTCTACAAAATATATATTTTGAAATCAATAAATGTACCTTTGTTTCGAAGCTGAGAATTTGGAAACATCACCTGGGAAAAAGTCACTCATCCCCCCAAAATCTACTCTCTTTGAAATCAACAGCACACCTGGCCAAGTTATGGGACGTAAGATTCGTGGCTTTGCTTGCATATTTTTCATTTGAAATCAACAGCACTCTTAGCTATTCTGATCAATGTGACCCCACGCCAAATCATGGGTCGGTGGGAATCATATAAACCCCTATCTGGGTCGTTCAAATCATCATCCGTTTACAAGATACCTGGGTTAGGTTGTATCCGTTCAAATATTAATTAATTCCACACTGACAGTAGTTCTAAAATACAAGAGGAGACATCAAATTAAATTAAAGGGAAAATCTATGATTATGATTCCAGTTTATTTCGTCAGTTGTTTTTCGGAAATTATATCTTTTCCACATCATAATTAAACCCTAAATTAAATTACAACAATTCGCATAGAACCGGGTCCACCCAAAGATTATATTACTACTACTTTTTATGTAGAATCCGGCCGGCAACCCGCAAAAGGTCTCATATCCTTGGCTTGACCACAGCTCGGAGAGGTTTCTTCATCACGACCGTGAATTCCAACTTCTCGCTCAAGTCAACCTTCTGCTGGGAGGGGTGTAAACTCCACTCGAACTCCTGGACCATCCTGGCCAAGAGCAGGTTCACATGAACCGTGCCCAACCCCAGACCGGGACATATTCTCCTTCCGCCCCCAAACGGCAGCATCTTCACTCCCTTTACCCCCGTTATGTCGGCATCCTCCTTCCCCGTCGCGAACCGGTCTGGGTTGAACTTTTCCGGTTCGGACCAGATACTGGGGTCCTCCGCGATGGCTGGCAAGAATATCTCTACGTTGGCATCCGTCGGCACATCATAACCACCCAGCGTTGCTGGTTGCGTCACTGCATGTGTGAGTGCGAAGTACGTCGGAGGGTGCTTCCGTAGTAATTCCTTTACGACCGCGTTTAGGTACACCATCTCTTCTGCATCCTTCTCGTCCACTTTCCGGTCTCCAACTTTCGACTTGATCTCGGTGTAGAGTTTTGATTGGATTTCTGGGTTCTCAATCAGTCGGGCTATGCCCCATTCCAGTGCTGTGGCGGTGGTGTCGGTCCCGCCGTTGAGGAATTCGGAGCAGAGCGAGACCAGCTCGGTGTCGGTTGGACGTGATTTACGTCCCTCGATTTCGAGATCAAAGAGAGTGTCGAGGTAAGCGAATGAAGTTTCGGGGTTATTTTTCAGGAGGGATCTTCGCTTCTCGATGAAGGGAAGGATTGTTCGTATCTGTTCTTCACGTACTTGCATAGATCGCTTGCGTTGTTTTGAGAAGAATGGACTTAAGATAGGTAAGAAATCGTCGATCCTGGGATCAAGAGTGATCAACACCGTCTTCATCATGTCATCAATCC